GAGACCAGCCTGGCTAACGTGGTGAAACCCTGTCTCTACTAAAAATATAAAAAACTTAGCTGGGCGTGGTGGCACGTGCCTATAATCCCAGCGCCTCAGGAGGCTGAGCCACGAGAATCTCTTGAATCTGGGACGGGGAGTGTACAGTGAGCTGAGATCGTGCCATTGCACTCTAGCCTGGGTGACAGAGCGAGACTCCATCTTAAAAAAAAAAAAAAAGGAAAATCTAACTAATATTTAGATCACCTAAGTAATAAGTATTCAGAACCAATATTCTGCAGTCTTACCCACACAGATCTAGATATGCCACACAGTTGTTTTTTTTAGATATATTTTATTCTAAAGCACATTTAAGGAGATAAAATTATTTCTTCTAATTCATTAGCAGCAAAAGTGACTTTCTGAATGTATGATAGTGTGTAAATGTGTTGCATCGAGCACTCTTTATTGTATTGGAAATACAATAAAAATAGGAAACACAATAAAATGGAGGTGTTAAATGAATAGAATTCTAAAACTGAAACTCTAGTCATGTTTAATTTGCTCATTAATATCTGGCAGAATTGTTACATGTCATTGTCCTTACATTTTTATTATTTCCCCTTGTTTTGGATAATTTTAGGAAATTCGTACAAGTTTCAAGCTGGCAATAGAATGAATGCAATGCTATGGTTTAAGCATTTGAGTGCAGCCTGCCAAAGTAACAAACAACAGGTAAGCACTTCTCCTAATTCTCAAAATAGTCCATAATTCGGGAATATATGTAAAAGAGTTCCAAAGAGAAGTAAGCAGACTAGTTCTGAATTAACTAAAGAGAATAGTGGGGTTTTTATTCTTGTTGATGACAGTCAGTAAGACATGAAGATCTACATCTTAGTGAGGAGGAAAACAATAAGCAAACAAGTAACAGAATTTCAAACAGAACTATATAAAGAAAATAAAATAGAAGTATTTGATGTAGACCAAGAGGAGTACAGACAACTTTCAATAACATAAGTGTTGGCAGCAAAGATCTCCCTGAGGAGTTGGTACTGACATGAACCACAGGAAGGAATGAGCTGTAAGAAGAGGAGAGCAGAGTGCTGTTTAAGGGAAGGGCAAGAGCACGGAGCCTGGAGCTGAAACAAGCACAAGGTGTTCAAAGCAGAGAAAGGTAGCTAGTACGGTAGAATAGTCAGAGTATAGCTCTCTAAAGGGTAAAAACTAGCTGGCATATTAAATTAATAAAAATTATTTGAATTCATCTTTATTTGATCTAGTGACCAGTTTGATGTGGGTGTCTGTGGTGGCAGTGAAACCAAACACCATTTGGATTTTATTTGCCTTTATTTCGCTGAACCAAAAATGGTCTAATTGGAATGCTTTCAGCTGCAGAAGAGCAGGAATTCATTGTGGTGTTTTCCCCAAACCCTGTTGCACAGTTAGAGTTGAACCACTGATTGGTAGAGCAGTCATAAAAAACATAGCTGCAGTTACAGAAATTTATACAGACTTTCTGTAGAACCAGTTTGTTAAATATATTTGAAAATCATTGGCAGCATATTGATAATGTAGAAGTATACAGTTAGCATTATCAGTAGGTAATATTGAATAATATGATGTACTATATAAGCTTAGAAAGCTTACAGAAGTATTTTTTACCCTGTCGTATTAGGATGTAAGTTATTACCCTTTCTTGATAATTGAACCCAAGGCTCCATAATATGAAGTGACTTACACGGATCACACTGGTGGATTCTAACTTTCTTCATCCTTTAAGTCCATTCTTTTTGTTTGCTTGTTTTTTTACTTTTAGGTTCACAGGGTACTTGTGCAGGTTTGTTACATGGGTATATTGCATATCACTGAGGTCTGATGTATAAATGATCCCATCACCCAGGTAGTGAGCAGAGTATCCACCAGTTTTTCAACCCTTACGCCTCTCCCATCCCCCCAACTCTGGTAATGCTCAGTGTTGATGGTTCCCATCTTTATGTCTAGGTGGATTCAATGTTTAACTTCCACTTATAAGTGAGAACATGCAGTATTTGGTGTTCTTTTGCTGCGTTAATTCACTTAATGGCCTGTAGCTGCATTCGTGTTGCTGCCAAGGACATGATTTCAATGTTTCTTAAAAATCACTGTGTAGTATTCCATAGCATATATGTACCACATTTTCTTTTTTTTTTTTTTTTTTTTTGAGTCGGAGTTTCGCTCTTGTTGCCCAGGATGGAGTGCAATGGCGCGATCTCGGCTCACCGCAACCTCCGCCTCCTGGGTTCAGGCAATTCTCCTGCCTCAGCCTCCTGAGTAGCTGGGATTACAGGCACGCGCCACCATGCCCAGCTAATTTTTTGTAGTTTTAGTAGAGACGGGGTTTCACCATTTTGACCAGGATGGTCTCGATCTCTTGACCTCGTGATCCACCCGCCTCGGCCTCCCAAAGTGCTGGGATTACAGGCGTGAGCCACCGCGCCCGGCATACCACATTTTCTTTATCCAGTCCACTGTTGATGGGCACCTAGGTTGATTCCATGTCTTTGCTATTGTGTATACTGCTAGGATGAACATACATGTATCTTTTTGGTAGAACAATTTATTTTTCCTTTGAGCATATGCCCAGTAATAGGATTGCTGGGTTGAATGGTAGTTCTGTTTTAAGACCTTTGATAAATCTCCAAACTGCTTTCCACTGTGGCAGAACTAACTTACATTTCTACCAAGTGTATAAGTATTCCCTGTTCTCTGCAACCTTGCCAACATTTATTATTTTTTGACTTAGCCATTCTGACTGGTGTGAGATGGTATCTCATGCAGTTTTGATTTGCATTTCTCTGACAATTAGTGATATTGGCCATTGTTCATATGCTTGTTGCCCATGTATATGTTCTTCTCTTGAGAAGTGTCTGTTAATGTCTTTTCCCACTTTTTAATGGGGTTGGATTTTGCTTGTAAATTTGTGTAAGTTCCTTATTGGTTCTAGATACTAGACCTTTATCAGATAGTTTGAAATTATTTTCTCCCATTCTCTAGGAATGTTGGTTTAATCTGCTGATAGTTTCTTTTGCTATGCAGAAGCTCTCTAATTAGGTCTTGTTTGTCAGTTTTTGTTTTTGTTGCAACTGCTTTTGGAGTCTTCATCATGAAATCTTTGCCGGGGCCTGTGTTCAGAATGGTATCTCCTAGGTTGTCTTCCAGGGTTTTTATAGTTTTAGGTTTTGCATTTAAGTCTTTAATCCATCATGAGTTGATTTTTGTATACAGTGTAAGGAAGGGGTCCAGTTTTAGTCTTCTGTATATGGCTATCCAGTTATCCCAGCAGCATTTATTGAACCAGGGGGTCTTTTTCTCCATTGCTTGTTTTTGTCAGCTTTGTCAAAGATCAGATGGTCGTAGGTGTTAGGCATTATTTCTGGGCTCTCTATCTTGTTCCATTGGTTTTATCCTGTTCCATTGGTATATGTTTTTGTACCAGTACCATGCTATTTTGGTTACTGTAGTTTTGTAGTATAGTTTGAAGTCAGATAGTATGATGCCCTCAGCTTTGTTCTTTTTGCTTAAAATTGCTTTGGCTATTTGGGCTTTTGTTGTTGTTGCTCCATATGAATTTTAGAATTTTTTTTTTCTAATTCTTTGAAGAGTGTCATTGGTAGTTTGATAGGAATAGCATTGAATTTGTATATTGCTTTGGACAATATAGACATTTAACAGTATTGATTCTTCCAATCCATGAGCATGGAATGCTTTTCCATTTGTTTGTGTCATCTCTGATTTCTTTGAGCAATGTTTTGTGATTCTCATAGTAGAGATCTTTCATCTCCTGAGTTAGCTGTATCCCTAGATATGTTTTTCTTTTTTGTGGCTACTGTAAATGGAATTGTGTTCTTGATTTGGCTCTCAGTTCAAATGTTATTGGTGTATAGAAATGCTGTTGATTTTTAGACACTGATTAGGTATCCCGAGACTTTGCTGAACTTGTTTATCAGATCTAAGAGCTTTGGAGCAGAGACTCTGGGGTTTTCTAGATGTAACATCATATAGTCTGAAGAGTAAGAGCTTGACATCCCCTTTCTATTTGGATGCCTTTTATTTCTTTCTCTGGTCTGATTGCCCTGGCTAGGACATTCAGTACTATGTTGAATGGGAGTGGTGAGAGTGGACATCCGTCCTTGTCTTGTTCCAGTTCTACAAGGGAATGCTTCCAACTTTTGCCCATTCCGAGTGATGCTGCTGTGGGTTTGCCATTGATGACTCTTACTATTTTGAGATATGTTCTTTCAGTGCCTAATTTGTTGAGGGCTTTTAACATGAAAGGATGTTGAATTTTATCAAAAGCCTTTTTTGCATCTTTTGAGATGATTGTATGGTTTTCTGTTTTTAATTCTGTTTATGTGATGAATCACATCTGGTGAACCAATCTTGCATCTCAGGAATAAAGTCTACTGGATTGTGGTGAATTAACTTTCTGATATGCTGCTGGATTCAGCTTGCTAATATTTTGTTGGGGATTTTTGTGTCTGTGTTCATCAGGTATATTAACCTATAGTTCTATTTTTTCATTGTGTCTCTGCTAGGTTTTAGTATCAGAATGATGTTGGCTTCATGGAATGAGTTAGGAAGGAGTCTTTTCTTCCTCGATTATTCGGAATATTTTTAGTAGGATTGGTACTAGCTCTTTTTTGGTACATTTGGTAGAATTCAACTGTGAAATCCATCTGGTCCAAGGCTTTTTGGGGTTGGTAGGTTGTTTATTACTAACACAATTTTGGAACTCATTATTGATCTCTTTAGGGTTTCAGTTTCTTCCTCATTGAATCTTCAGAGGTTGTGTGTTTCTGAGAATTTATTCATTTATTTTAGGTTTTTTAGTTTGTGTGCATATAAGTGTTAGTCTCTGAGAATTTTTTGTATTTCTGTGGGGTCAGTTGTATTTCACCTTTGTAATTTCTGATTGGGATTGTTGGGATCTTTTATCTTATTTTCTTCATTAATCTAGCTACCAGTCTGTGAATCTTGTTTATTCTTTCAAAGAACCAACTTTTGGTTTCATTTTGTATTTTCATACAAAAATACAACTTTTGTATGCATTTTCACATCTCCATTTCATTCACTTCTGCTTTGATTTTGGTTACTTCTTTTTTTCTGCTAACTCTGGGGTTGGTTTCTTTTTGTTTTTCTAGTTCCTCCAGGTGTGATGTTAGGTTGTTAGTTTGAGCTCTTTCTAACTTTTTGACATAGGTATTCAGCATGGTTTGTTGTGTCTCTGTTTTCATTAGTTTTAAATCGTTTTTTGATATCTGTCTTAATTTCATTCTTTACCCAAAAGTCATTTGGAAGAAAGTTGTTTAATTTCCATGTAATTGTATGGTTTTGAGAAGCTTCTTGTTATTGATTTCTAGTTTTATTGTACTGTAGTCTGAGGGAATGATTGGTATGATTTTAGTATTTTTTAATTTGTTGGCACTTGCTTTATGGCCAAGCATGTGATTGATCTTAGAGAATGTGTCTTGTGCCAGTGAGAAGAATGTATATTCTTGTGTTGTTGGATGTTGTCAAATGTTGAGTTTAAGTCCGGAATATTTTTGTTAGTTTTCTGCCTCACTGATCTGCCTGACACTATCAGTGGGATGTTGAAGTCTTCCATTGTGTAGTTATATAAGTCTCTTTGTAGGTCTCTAAGAACTTGTTTTCTGAACCTAGGTGCTCCACTGTTGGGTGCATATATCTTTGGGACAGTTAAGTCTTCTGGATGAATTGAATCCTTCATCATTACGTAATGCCCTTCTTTGTCCTTTTTATGTTGTTACATGTGAGATGGTTCTCTTGAAGACAACAGTTAGTTGAGTCTTGCTTCTTTGTCCAGCCTGCCACTTTGCCTTTTTAGCCCATTTACATTCAAGGTTACTATTGATGTGTGAGGATTTAATACTGTCATCATGTTGTTAGCTGCTTGTTATATAGACTTCATCGTATAGTTGCTTTATAGTATCGGTGGACTGTATACTTAAGTATGTTTTTGTGGTAGCAGGTATTTTTCTTTCATTTCCACATGTAGCACTCCTGAAAGGACCTCTTGTATGGCAAGTCTGATATCATGAATTTCTTAGTCTTTGTCTCAAGAGGATTTTCTGTCTCCTTCACTTATGAAGCTTAGTTTGGTGGGACACAAAATTCTTGGTTGGAATTTATTTTCTTTAAAGATGTTCAGAATAGGCCTCCAGCCTCTTCTGGCTTATAAAGTTTCTACTTTAAGGTCCACTGTTAGCCTGATGGGGTTCCCTTTGTAACTGCTGCCCATTTTCTCTAGCTGCATTTAAGATTTTTTTTCTTCTGCATTGACTTGGAGAATCTGATGATTAACTCTTGGGAATGGTCATCTTGCATCGTATCTTGTGGGGAATTTCTGAATTTCTTGAGTTTGCACATCAACTTCTGTAGCAAGATTAGGATAACTTTTGTGGACTGTATCCTCAAATATGTTTTCCAAGTTGCTTTCTCTCCTTTTCTTGCAGTAACACCAGTGAGTCATAGGCTTAGTCTCTACATAATCCCATATTTATCAAAGGTTTTGCTCATTTTTTAAAATTTTTTCTTTATTATTGTCTCTGTTAATTTGAAGGAGTGTTCTTCAGTTTCTGAGGTTCTTTCTTTGGTTTGGTCTATTCTGTTGTTAATGCTTCCAACTATGTTATGAAATTCCTAGGTTGGGACTGGTGGCTCACACCTATAATCCCAACACTGGGAGACCGAGGCAGGCAGATCACTTGAGGTCAGGAGTTTGAGACCAGCCTGGCCAACATGGTAAAACCCTCATCTCTACTAATAATACAAAAATTAGCCGAGCATGTTGGTGCTTGCCTGTAGTCCCAGCTACTAGGGAGGCTGAGGCAGGAGAATCACTTGAACCCAGGATTTGGAAGTTTCAGTGAGCCAGGATCGTGCCACTGCACTCCAGCCTGGGTGACAGAGCGAGACTTCATCCCAAAAAAAAGAAAAGAGAATAAATCCCTAGAGTGAATTTTTAAATTCCAGAGGTTCAGTTTGGCTCTTTCTTAAAATGGCTGTGTTGTGTTTCAACTCTTGAATTGTTTTACTGTTTTCTTTAGATTGGGTTTCCACTTTCTCCTGTATCTCACTGAGCTTCTTTGCTATTCAGATTCTAAATCCCATGTCTGTCATTTCAATTATTTCAGCCTGGTTAAGAACCATTGCTGGGAAACTATTGTGGGTTGTTTGGAGGTAAGAAGACACTCTGGTTTTTAGAGTTGACAGAGTTCTTGCACTGGTTCTTTCTCGTCTGTGAGGACTGGTGTTGCATTATCCTTTGAAGTTGCGGACTTTTGCATGGTGCTTTTTGTTTTTATGTTCTTTGTTTCCCTCAGGGTTTGACTGTGGTGTGAGTTAGGTATAGTCAGTTGGCTTCATTTCTGGATGCTTTCAGAGAGCCAAGGTTCAGCTTGGCACTCCTGGGCTGTGTGCTGTAACTCACAAGGGGCTGGGACCAAGCCTCTGGCTTTTTCCTCTGGCCTCTTGTGGTCAACCACTAACTGCACTGGGTGGACCAAGGTGCTCTCAGGCTGCTGGCAAAACCTCTCCATCAGGGGCTACTGCCAAAAGCATTTCATCGGGGGTCACTGGTGAACATGTTCTAGCAGGTTAGTGGGGGCCACTGGTAAACGCACTATGGTGACAGTCGCCCGCAAAAGCATTCCAACAGAATAGTGGAAGCTACACTGTGCCTGCTCCCATGGGAGTGGCCAGGCACGGACCTTGGAAGGGGCCACCAGACAATGGGACATGTAGCTCAGACTCACCCTAGTCCCATGGGAAAGACAGCCCTGCGCTCTCCAGATATGGCAGTTAACAAAGGTCAAAGCCACCTAGAGGAATATGAAGAGCCTTGGTGGATGGGCATCTGTGGCCGTGTTCCTTTGCAGCTTTCCCCACATCATACCCCCTGGGCTCCATGTAGAGTTAAGCCGTGTCTCTGCCAGCTCTCCAGGTAGTTCTGAACCCCTCGCAACTGAAATATCCAGGAGAATCATGGGATCTCTTGCCACTAGGATCCCAGTGGTTTGTGGTGAGAGTGGGACATTTTTAAAAATATTGTTGGAGTGGGCTTTGTTCTCTCATAATTTTTATTGTTTCAAATACATGTGAAACACTGATAACAGTATTTAGTACCATTTTTAGCAACCTCCATAAAAGACATGAAATGGCATAGAGCAGAATTTTTTTTTTGCCTTGTCAAGTTAGTGTCCAGGGCAGAATGAAAGAAACAGATATAACTTTGTCTAGACTCAGCCTTTCATGATTCACTTCTTTGCTATACATTTTCTTTAAATATAATTTAAGATATTAAGCCTCTTTTTTTTTTAGTCTCAGATTCCAAGATGAATCTAAACAATATGTACATACCAGCTTAAAAGTTCGATTTATTTTACTGTATTTAGTATTTCTAAGGAACAAGTCAACCAGATGTGTATAAATATTTGTTTCTGTACTTGCAAGAATTAGGATAGTGGCAAATTTCTAAGTAGAACCTGTGAAAGTTTTAGTAGAAAACTCTGACTCACATGCAGAATACCATAAACCACATTCAGGCAACTTAAAAAGAAATGAAACTTTTACTTTACTTAAATACGGGTTTCTTATAATCAGACCTGAAAATTTATACTTTAAGCACTTGAGCATTTGTGTTGTATCTGATTTATAATTCAGTTATGATTATATTGTCCAACAGAATTTTTTATTCAGAAGCTGACACTTATAAGATATTCATGTTTTTTAGTATAATAGGTTTCAGAGAGAGGTTGCTAAAGTGTAAGAACTGTTAAACTGTCTAAAAGACAGAAAAGACCACTGACATGTCTCTACCAGTGCAACTCTGGAAAACTGGTTTTGAGGATTTGTTTTAATGTGGTGAAACTCTCTTTAGTTATTTGATTAGAAGACTCATCAACTAATTTTTCAAGGTAAAAATCCTATTTTGGAGAATTATTGGATTTCAAAAAGAAAGCAAATAAAATCTCTAATCTTTAGGCAGAGAACTATATTATATAACCTATTGATTTTCCAAAGTCACAATGTGTCCAAACACAATGTATCTAATAAGGAATGTTGTTTTTCTGTACTTACTTTCTTCATGATTTTACAAATAAATTTTTAGTAATGTTTGTTATAAAATTGTTTTTGCTGATTTTAAAAATGTGCGCCTAGGATTTTTTGTGATAAATAATGAGAAAATAAATAATGACAAGCAAGTGTTTCTGGAATCTCACCCGACCAGAGTCATACTTACTCTTGCTCATTTATTCATTCGGTCAGCATCTACTGAGCTCCCTGTGTTGGACAAGAAAGATATTGTCTCTACCCCTTCTCCTGTATAGATGTCATTTTACTAGAAGAAGAGTATTAACTCATTTCGGTGATTTTCTCTCTAAAATGTTCTAGCATATTATTCATAAACTATTGAAGCTCCTTATATCAAATTCCTTTTAAAAGATATTTAGATAGGTTTGGGCTTGCCTAAATAACAAGGAAAGATAAGAAATACTCCTTTGAAAAACAACTTTTGAACTCAGTATGTAATGCTTATATTTTTTAGGTTCCTACAAACTTGATGACTTTTGAGTAAAAGCCTGAGAAAAAAAGAGAGGTGAACTATTGCTCCTATGTGAGCATGGGGACCTGATAAAAGAGCGCCAGCTATAAACCATCCTGTGCCAGGAAGAGCCCAGAGGCTCTGTCTCAGTCTTTGGAGTTCTGAACCAAAAAAGCACTAATTTCAGGGAATGAATTGAGATATTCCCAGAGAACAAATTGGAGTTGCAAAACAAACTGCCATGAACCATGCTTCTTATCTCAGAACTGACCTGTGGAAACCACTGCCTTAAAAGAATGAAAGGAAAACCAACATGAAACACCAAATAGTGTGTGTGAATCTTCTGGCGGTGCTGTGCTTGGAATAGATCGTAGCTAATTTGCATTTCTTTTAACTTTGTAATAATTTTAGAGGGGGGGGTTGCCTTTTTTAGGTACGCTTTAGAAAGGAAAAACATATTGTTGTGGACTACATCAGGAGCTGGTTTGGAACAGAGGTGAAGAGACTTAGCAGGGATTGTACCAGCAGCCCACCTGCAAGGTTTGTTCTCCCTCTCGTAGTCTGCAACCTCACTGGCTTTCTCACAGCAAGAGGGTAGGAATGAGAAATGTTGGTCATGTGAGTTGTTGGGTTTGTTTGGGATTGGGTGGGGGTGTTTTGTTTTGGATGAGGGGAGAATTTTTTAAACACTAAACTTCTGAAATGTAGTACTGTAAGAGGAACATAATTTCCTGCAGGAGTTACAAAGGCTGAGTGTTCATTTGCCAGACACTTTTTTTTTTTTAAAGTAGATTCCAGAAAACATGGTTGTTTCTAACTAGGGTTAAAATTTGGCTTTCTATATGAATTCATTGTTGGACCACGAATCTGCTAAAGTAAAGAACTATAATCCCAACCTAAACTTTTCTGAGATTTTACAATAATTAGATCTTTTCCCAGGTTAATTTGGAGTTCCTCTTCTCCCAGTCACAGGAGGTTTTTGTCATCAAGACACATTGATATTTTGTCGGGATATTTTCCTTTACGGTGTTTAATGTACATCATGCCAGAGTTATTTTTTTATGATTCATTTTCTCTGTTTTTGTTCAGTATGAATGAGATTCAGGATCGTATTTGTTTAAAGGGTAACACATATAGATGTACATATGTATTTTTGTTACAAGACATACGAAATAATTTTAAGAGGGATAAAGGTGAAAATATCAGATTCCGGAAATTTTAAGTATCTTAAACTTTATAATTCTTATATGATTTACCATAAACATACCAAAACATTTTTCTGAAAAGTTACTATAGGTCTCTGACATGAAACCATATTTTGTCAGTAGTTGACCAAGCAGTTTTTTGAGAACTCTTCTATGCAATAATGCATTTAATTTGTAAAATAAATGTTGAATTATAAAAAAAAATTTGAAGATGAGATGCCTTAGAATTTTAACGAAAAATGGCACTCGAACAACAGCTACGTGTTGAATGATATAAACTCTTGAGACATCATAGATTTTAGCAGTGACCCAGAGTAAGGTAATGCTTTGTGACCGGTGTCTACTAATAGACTTGTTATTTTGGGCCTCACATAAAATTTCTCACATTCATATTCTTAGAGAATTTTATACTTTTTTATTATAAGTATTTTGCCCTTCAGTCCATGAAACTTAAATAGAAAATATTGCTTATACAATAATTAGCCTAAAATCTATCCAAAGGAAAAGAGAAGAGCTTTTTTGAGTGTTTTTTAATTTAATTCTCTGTTTGGAAAAGATGTTCAGAGTTCAAATATGCTTCTTATATAACAGAAATACCATTATTTCTGGGATTTAGTGGCATAGGCTGGAGAAGGCAAAAGTTTCCTGTGCTGAAGGATTTTTCAATTGACCTTAACCCATGTTGGGTACATAGAAAGACACCATCTGCATAGCCAGCAGTGTTACTACGTAGACCTTGCACATCTTACTTTTGTTCTGCATTTTTTTAAATTTCTCGATTTGTCTATTTCTCTTCAGAAACAGCGTTTTTAACAGTGTATTTGCTTTTTTAAAAAGTATTGTGAATGGAAACCCTGTGGATTTTTTTTTATTTCGTTTGTTTGTCATAAATAAGCTAAAGTAGACATGTTGTAGATTAATCATATCTGTGGAAATATGCAACTAAAAATCAGAGCCTGACATCACATAGTTTTGCCAAAGGGAGAGAGCTAAGCTGGAAGATGTGTTTGATATTTTCAGCTCTGAACATTAATGGATGCTTGCATAGAGTAAGATAGTGTTCAAATTTGGTTAATAGTAGATAGCCTTGTGGCCTCTGACTGACTAACCCTCTTTACATAACAGTACAGAAGTCCTTGTTGTTTTTCTGTCTTTAAAATTTATTCATCTAAAAAATTAGTCATTGCTTAAGATTATTTTAGCATTTCAAGCAAATTGAAAACAAAGTGAATTAAAATAGTGTAGGTGAATTTTTTTTATCTATAATTCACCAAATATCTCATAATTCAAAAAAATATGTAACTAAAATATATTAAATATTTAGGTAGTTCATTTGTGGGAAGATGAATCTTTTTATTAAGCCTGCCCTCAGCTGTAAATAAGTGACTCAAAAGCCCAAAATGTTCATCAGCATTAAGTTCAGTTGTTTCGCCCTTAGCCAAGAACTCATTAGAAATTCAGTTATAATTTAAATTTAAGTCTGCTTTGATAAGCACAATGATTAGCATGTTATATGGCCTGTTGTAGTAGTACGTACTAGCCAATTTAAGGCAATCTCATTTAACAATTTATTTGAACATGGAGGTTTATTTTTCATATGTAAGTAAGATGTCAGCTTTAAAATTACAACTCTAAAAATAACTACAGATTGACCTTCCAGAGCACTATTTTTGGCCTCATGCCCCCTCTGTTCAGGCTTTGCTTGTTTTTCAGAATGTGATTTTTACCTCCAGACAGATGGTAAGAATTGAACAAGAACTGATCAAACACACCTTCCTATTTTGTTTTCTTCACTATGTAAATATTATTTGGGTAAACATTATAAAAAGGGATCCAAACAATTTGAGTTTAAGTATTTTTTTCTTTCTAGGCATGTGCTTCAATGACAATTTTTCTGTGTGGAAAATGCCATATCACTATTGCACTGCCTTCTGTGTGGACTGTGTTGGTATTGGATCTTTCTGTATTATCAAGAGTCAGGGTGTTTACAACTGCAAAGTTTGTATAAGTGGCTTTATTCCTCTTCTAGAAGATTTATGAGGAGGCTAGGAGGCACTGTTTATCGGTACAGGAGGAAAAAAAGAATGGAAAGCATGTTTACAGACTCTAGCGTTCCTTGTTAGCTTAAACTGGGGCCCTCGAGGAGCAGCCTGTTGATCTTTTGGCCAAGCAACTTGAGCATTAAGTCTCTTATTTCTTTCTGAGGTTAATTCGTAAGCTGTGTACCTTTACTACTGAAAACAAAACTATAGGGCACCATAGTAATTGAAAATCAATAGTAATAGGCCTTTTAAATGAATATATCTAGTATTGGTATCCTTCCTGTTTTTTTGAGGCATATTCCTTTCCAACCAGTTTTTAAAACACCACGTAATCATCTTCTGCAAACAAGGGATACCAGTGTTGCCTAACGGAAGATAATCTTTAATAAAGTAAATCCTCTGCTTCAAAGGCTTTTGAAATAATTGGATCCCTTTTTGAAAATGAAGATGGATTTAACTGTGTCCAGGTGGAATAATAGTATTGCTGTTGCATGAATAGATGCTATAAAGCAAGTGATGAGGTTGATCTGACTTCTTTCGTGACCTTTTAGGGTTTGCTTTTATTTTCCTTCTCTTTTTTGTATTATGTCTTTCAAAATAGTAAATATATTATTTTACAGCCCAAGTGGTATTCTGTTTTTTCTAAGCTTTGAGATACAAATATTGCTTTTTAATCACATTGATGATATATTACTTTCCATGTGAACCTTTTCAGAATGATTTAAGTACCTTTGATTTTGATCCCCTAAAAATGGCTTGTGTCTAAAATGACATTTTGTTCCCCCTATTTGGAGGGTTCTAATGAAAGAGATCCATGCATAAAAACTCTTTTGCTATTGTAAACAATTTGATTACACCTGTGTCTTAAGTTATAGTGTGGGGAAAATTTGGTCAGTGCCTTATTATTTGAAGAGCAATTTTAGGGCATCAAATATGACAATAATCATGTGCCCTCTTGCTCCTCTTATTTCAGGAGTGTGTGCTATCCCTCTCTCCACCAGCTTAATCTTTGTCACCCCAAGTCTAACAAAGTCATTGCAGAAACCTCTGTAGGTAATTGTTGCAGTCCTCCTTGGTTTTTGAGTCTTTTTAAACAGGATTCCTCCCTGCTTTTATCCTTTTAGAGTAGGAGATTAAAAATAAACCCACCCGAATCAACCTTAGATATACACTCTTAAAAACAAATTTGAAGAGCAGTATTCAGCCAAGTTCATTTTTATTTTGTTGATGTTTTGAGCATATATTTAATTGTAAGGCCTTTTGAAAAAGCCCTAAAATAATAAGATACAACCAGAAATATTTGTTTTGGTTTTGTTAAATGTACTGAAATCTTGTAATGAAAATCCCTTTGTCCAGAAATGAGATTTATTTCCATTTATTTTTATATTTAAGTAACACTCAGAACAAACAAGTAGTCACTTAACCCGCCAGTTATTATTTTCTTGAAAATATGCAAGAAAGTAAAAATATCTCTAATATGTAAATTAAAGGGAAGTTAAGAGGCTAAACTAGTTTTCTCGGTGAAAGCAAAGCTTGGCGATATTTTGCTTCTCTCAGATTATTGGAAGACCTGGAGCTACTGGATGTTAACCTGAGTCAAGATGTTCTTTCACGTTTTTTTTTTAAAGGGCTAGTATGTTCCAGAGTAGGCAAGTAGACATAGTCATTCAAGCCAAATGAAACAGTTAACTGGTCCTTGAGGATTATTAGCAAAATTTAAATTTTGACCCTGGCCCTTTGTACTACAGAAGTGATGGAGATTAAAAAGATACATAATTAGAGTGTTTTGGGATGGGGCTCTTTTTTTTTCTTAATCGAAAAGCAGAAACTCCATAATTATTCGCTGTGCTTTAGATACCAGATAACAAATATTGTTTCCCCTGAAGATATCACCTACTAGAACCATTCACATATATAGTCCAATAGTTGCTGACTTAATAGGTATGGTGAAATCGCTGATAATAAGTCAGCAGACTCTCAAGAGTTTCTGTACCTTGATAACTGACAAATTCATTGTTTTACATCCTACTGAAGTACATGTGTGTGGGGAGGGCGTGGGGAACTGGTTGACAACATAATCTGAAGGAGATCAAACATCTGTAGGGACAGGTACCCAATGATAATAACATATCTGAAAACACAAGCCGTTTTTATTCTTTATCCCAAATAACTTTGAGGTACTCTAATGATGAAGCACTCGACTGCACTGTGACCTCCTTGAGTGATGTGCAGCTTGGTTCCTCTCTCACTTTTTGTTTCTGTTTAATATGCAAATGTGAGTGTGCGATCTTCAGTGTGTCTGCATAAGCTAACTTAAAATGAATTTAAATACAGTTTTCTGAAATATTTCTATTGAAATAAATTACTTAAAATTATAGATTGTGTGAGGATGTTTTTGTTACTGTATTTGCATTTTTATCATTAACTTTTAAGGTGCAGATAAACGTTAAGTTGATTTTTTTCTCCTTTCTAAAATAATCAACAAGGCTATTGTTGATACAGGGAAAGCTATGAAAAAAACTTTGGTCGATCTTCTCTAGCCCACGACAAGAATGTGCTACCTGGAATGTGGACAAATGGGGTTGTGGGGAATAGAGAGTAAGGGCATAGTATTTCCAACTACATCTCCCACTCTGAGCATGTGATACGATAGGATTAGTCCCCAAAGAGGCTCTCTTTGCTCATATATAACATTTATTTCTTTTTACCATTTCTGAAAACAATCCATCTTCCAGTGCAAGGAGCTTTAAATTGGAAGAAGTACAGGAATACCTGTGTTTGAGTCTCCTTTAGGTTATTGGCTGGATGTTGATTATGCCCTAAGAATTCCACATTAGCTTAGCCTCTAAATGGTTTAGGAACCCCCAGCCAGGACAAGCCCAGTATTTTGGCAAACCGTAATTCAGTTTTCAGCAGTTTTCTCACCTCTGTAGTGGCCTTTGAAATTTCTCACTGTCCCTTTACTTGAACCGAAAGAGGAGAATGACACTTCTTTGATGGGGTCAACTTGTCTTTACCTCGATCGTACCACCTTTGTCGTATATCAGTTTCCTACAAATGCAGAATCTCCTAGGTCCCCTTTCCTATTTCAGCCGTTGTTTGTCTTAACACCATATTGTCTGCATTACCGTATAGCTGTATAAGTTGATACCTGGTGAGGTAATTTTATGGTCTTCAAAATTACCTTAGCTATTCTTGACTTTGTCTTTGCTGTAAATTCTGAGACCAGTTTTTTTATGTTCCGTGAAAACAGTGTTGTTATTTTTATTAGAATTACTTTGGATTTATAGGTTAATTTGAGAACAGTTCTGAAAAGTTTACTCCTTTTATCTGTAAACATGAATTGTGTCTCCTTTTATCTAGGGCTTTTAATGTCCTTCAATAATGTTTTACAGTTTTCTCCCTAGTAGTCTCTGGCATTTTTTATTAGTTTATATCTAGGTAAATTAGTTTTTCTACTATGACTGACTTTTTGTTATATTTTCTCATTGATTATTGTGTATAGGAATCCTATTGGCCTTTATGTTGATCCGTCTATCTAGCGACCTTGTTGAACTCTCTTACCTAGTTCTAATGGCTTGTCCAGAGGTCTGTTGGAATTATATTAGCAGCAAATAAGAATAGCTGTTTCTTCCTTTCCAACCTTTGTACCTTTTTTTTTTCTTGTCTTATCCTTACTTGGCTAGGACCCCAGTACAATATTGGATTAGAAGCAGTGGTCGAATGCCAAAGAACTTAATTACCCAGTCTCCTCAGAAAACCTCAGAATATGACACAGCCGTAGAATGAACCCTAAGCATGTTATAGTGTAGCCCAAGTATAGTCTTCATTGTATTTTTAGACCCGCTAATCATCAACTTAAATTTCTGCTTTTTTTTGTAAAGTATGTTTATACTCTTAGGCAGAAAATAAGTGGCCATTTGCTCTCAGCCACCACTTACAGTCAAAACTAAATAAAATAGTGGGTCACAGGACTATTGCAAAATTTAGAGTATCTGTGTGTAATTAAGTTTCTTACTCTATATCACTGATTCTCAACTGGAAGCGATTTTGTCCCCTAGGCGATAGTTGTCAGAGTCTGGAGACATTTTTGGTTGTCACAACTGGGAGAGGGTTATTCTGGCATCTGGTAGGTAGAAAGGTAAGGGATGCTGCTAAACATTGTACGGCGTACAGGCCAGCCCCCTCAACAAAGAAGTATCTGTTCCAAAATGTCAATAATGCCAAGCTTGTGAAATCCTGCTCTATGTGAGTGACTTATTATATCTCATAAGTTGAGCATATTGAGATTGGTTGTAGGAAAGAGTTCAGTTTGTTTTGGCAAGGGACTTTAACTCTTCCCTGGATGATAATCTTTTTTTTTTTTTTTTTTTCTTTTGAGGCAAGATGGTCTTGCTCTATCACCCAGGTTAGAATGCACTGGTGCAATCTCGGCTCACTGCAACCTTCGCCTCCCAGGTTCAAGCAATTCTCCTGCCTCAGCTTCCTGAGTAGCCGGGATTACAGGCGCCCGCCACCATGCCTGGCTAATTTTTGTATTTTTGGTAGAGGTGGGGTTTCACCATCTTGACCAGACTGGTCTCAAACTCCTGACCTCATGATCCACCCACATCAGCCTCCCAAAGTACTGGTATTATACCCGTGAGCCACTGTCCCCAGCCAGAAGTTAACCTTTCTTACAGAAGTTTAGCCTACTGGCCAGAGGAGACGAATTAATAGCTTGGAAATATATTCATGGCCTGGACCATAATGTGTTATTCTTCAAGTATTTGTTGAGTTAAAAGCTACATGTTTCAACCTAAAGTAGACTTGTGGGGGACATTCTAAATGAGCACAGGCCTGCAGAAATGTTTGTCTACCTCTGTATGGTTATTCCAAATCTGAAAGGATAACCCCAAAGCAGTAGAACAAAGTAGGCTATCAGTATATCAGGCTGGATTATTTATTTAACTAATCTGAGCTTTAATTAAACCAGAAGCTATTTTTGTTATTGTAACAGTATTATATCCACATTGTAAAAAGTTCAATTACAGAAAACTGTAGAGTAAACAATGCATGTCCCACCTGTCAAATTCCTATCTCCAAATGCAATAATAACATTTATCTTTCACTCAGTTCCTGTAATCCTAGCCTAGTTTCTTTCAGTCTCAAGTTCTGAAGATTTTTGATTTTTCGCCTCCCTCAAACCTTTGCTCAACCCAAGACCTTTACATATACTCTAGTACTGTCAGAGCGAAAAGCATAAAAATAACAGTCCTTACTCCACGTAGACTTGTGATGCATTGGTCACATTATTTTTTATTTGATCAAATTAGCTGTAAAAATGATTATAAGAGAGTACTATGAACAAATATATGCCAACAAATTGAATAACCTAGAAAATGGACAAATTTCTAGAAACTTGAAACCTACCAAGACTAAATCATAAAGAACATCTGAATAGACCTGTAACTAGTAAAGATCAGTAATCAGAAACCTCCCAGAAAAGACCCTAAACCTGGTGGCTTCACTGATGAATGATACCAAACATTTAAAAACAAACTAATACCAATCCTCAAATTTTTCCAAAAAAGTAAAGCTGAGGGAACACTTCCTAATTCATTCTACGAGGCTAACATTGTCCTGATACCAAAGTCAGGCACAGATACTACAAGAAAACTACAGACCATTATTTATTATGAGCAATTTATGCAGAAATCCTCAACAAAGCACTATAATTTCAGCAGCATATTACAAGCATTATATAACATGAGTGAGTAGGATTTATTCCTGAAATGCAAGGATGGTTCAACATGAAAATCAATGGTAATACACCATATTAACTGAATAAATATGAAAATCTCAATTGATGCAGAAAAAAAGCATTTGACAAAATTCAACACCCTTTTATGACAAAAAATAATAATAAACTAATAGACTCTACCTCAACATAATAAAAGCCATATATGGAAAACCCACAGAAAGTATACTGAATGGTGAAAGACTGAAAGCTTTTCTTCTGAGATCCAAGAGCAAGGCAAGAATGTACATTTTCACCCCTTCTATTCAACATAGTACTGGAAGTTCTAGCCAGAATTGGAAAGGAACAGATAAAATTATCTCTGTTCACAGTTGATATGATTGTGTAGAAAACCGTGAAGGTTACACACAGACTGTTAGAACAAATAAATGAATCCAGCAAAGTAGCAGGATACAAAGTCAACACAAAAATCAGTCACATTTCTGTATACTAACAATGAGCAATCTGAAAATGACACAGTTCAATTTACAAAAGCATCGAGAATAAAATAGAAACTAACTTAACCAAGGAGGTGAAAGATTCGTGCAGTGAAAACTATAAAACATGGCTGAAAAAAATTAAAGACAAATGAAACATATCCCCTGCTCCTGGATTGAAAGACAATATTGTTAAGATGTGACTACCCAAATCAATATATAGATTCAATGCAGTCCCTATTATAGTATTTTTTACAGAAATAGAAAATCCCATTCTAAAATTAATATGGAATCTCAAGGGACCCCTAATAACCAAAACATCTTGAAAAAGAACAAAGCAGGAAGACTTTTTTCCTGATTTGGAAACTTCCTACAAAGCTACAGTAATCAAAGCACCTTGGTACTAGCATAAAAACATAAACCAGCGGGATAGAGAGCCCAGAAATAAAACGTATATGGTCAAGTGATTTTTGACGGGATGCCAAGACACCCATAAGGAAAGGAGTCTTTTCAGATGGCACTAGGGAACTGTATATCCACATGCAAAAGAATGAAGTTGGATCCTCACCTAAGACTGTTTACAAAAATTAACTCAAAATGAATCAAAGACCTTAAGACCTAAGCCTGTAAGTCTTACTGAAGATAACATAGGGCAAAAGCTTCACATCATTGAATTTGGCAGTGATTTCACAGATATGACACTAATGGCACAGGCAACAAAGGGAAAAACAAATTGGACTTAATGGAAATTTAAGATGTGTGTCAAAAGACAATATAAACAGAAAGCAACCCACAGAATGGGAGAAAGTATATGCAAATTATCTATCTGATAAAGGATTAATATCCAGAATGAATCAAGAACTGAAACTCATCAACATAATTCAGAAATGGGCAAAGGACTTGAATACACATTTCTCTGAAGAAGATTGCCAATAAATACATGTAAAAAAATGCTTAATAAATATGTGGTGAGGATATGGAGAAATGTAAAGACCTGATTGAATTGTTAAAGGTAAAGCTACAAAGACAGCAAAAGGAAATCTCTGTGAACCTGAACAGGAAAGAACTTAAATCCCTCAAAGCCCTTCCATAAATACAAAAAACAGAGTTTCTGTTCAATTGACAATACAAAGTTAACAGACGGGTGAAAACCTGGAAG